TCAGGGTGAGAGTTGGACTCTGCCAGGGCTGCTCACTGTCACCGATTCTGTTCATAACTTTTATGGACAGAATTTCTTGGTGCAGCCAGGGGGCGGAGGGATTCCAGTTCGGTGGCCTCAGGATTCCATCTCTGTTCTTTGCAGATGATGTGTTATTGTTGGCATCATCGTGCCGTGATCTACACCTCTCATTGGAGTGGTTCGTAGCGAGTGTGAAATGGCTGGGATGAGAATCAGCACCTCCAAATCTGAGGCCATGGTCCTCAACTGAAAATGGGTGGAGTGCTCTCTTCAGGTCGAGTATGAGGTTCTGCCTCAAGTGAAGGAGTTCAAGTATTTAGGGGGTTTGTTCACAAGTGAAGAAAGATTGGAGCGTTATATTGATAGAGCAGTTTGGAGCATCATCTGCAATATTGCAGACTCTGTACCGGTCTATTGTGGTGAAGAGGGAGCTGAGCTGTAAACAAAGCTCTCTGTTTACCGGTCAGTCCATGTTCCTACCGTAACCTATGGTCATGAGCTCTGGGTAGTGACCAAAAGAATGAGATCGCAGATACAGGCGGTTGAAATGAGTTTCTTCCACAGGGTAGCTGGACTCTCCCTTAGAAACGGGTGAGAAGTTCAATTATCCGGGAGAAACTTGGAGTAGAACCGCTGCTCTTCCACATCGAGAGGAGCCAGCTGAGGTGGTTCGGGCATCTGTAAGGTTGTTCCCTGGGTGCCTCCCTAGGGAGGTGCTTCGGGCATGTCCGACTGGGAGAAGACCGCAGGGAAAACCCAGGTCACGCTGGAGAGACTGTCTCTCGGTTGGCCTGTGAACGCCTTGGAATCCTCCCAGAAGAGCTGGAAGAGGTGGCTGTGGAAAATGTCTGGGCCTCCCTGCTTAAGCTGTTGCCCCTGCGACCCAACTTTAGAACAAGCAGAAGATGATGGATGGATGGATGGATTAAATATGCCAGTTTCATCATGTGATGTCAAATTGTGAAGTATACCTGACATCTAAAACTTCAGATAGGGCAGGTTTTTTTTCATTAATTTTTTTTGCATTTCCATGTTGACATATTTTTGCTGTTTTCCTTCTTGGGTTTTTCCAAACTTGGGGGGTGAGGGGTGTTTCTCATCCAACCAACCGACTAAAAACATCATTTTTATTTACATGCTTCTCTATGCAGGATGGTGGGGATCATCTTCGGGCCAAAGGATGAGCGGTGGGGTACACCCTGGACAGTTCTGGAAGGAGTTGCAAATGCAAAATTGTGATGGAAACTGAAGATTGAACATTAAACAGCTGTAAGGTTGCTTCAGTACTTTTTACATTAGTTCCCTTAACAAAAACATTATTAGAAACAAAGAAAACCCAAGACAACATTATGTGCAAGTTTTCTTTTTCCAACTATTTTTGTATTTCTGCCCAACTGCAAAACGTTACTAGTTTAGCCTTATTAGAGTCTGTTGAGCTCACAGTATGAAACATGTTTTCTATTTCCTGTAACGCTTGCTTTTCCTTTCGGCAAGGATAGACTGATTAATGGTCTTTCATCTCTAGTTGAAACAGAAAACTGACCCTTTCCTCATCCAAACACTCTTAATGAAGCCATCCAAAGGCACAAGGACAGACTCAAGTTGCCGTGAGCAATGGTCGCTGTATAGATGGTAACATACCTTTGCACAATGGCCATGAAACAGAAAAGCTTCCAAAAGGAGGCCCCTTTAAGCCCTTGAGGGTCTTGATGGTGATCTCTCTCTGCATTATTATTCCACTGTGATGCAATTCAGGCATCCTGGAAAGTATCACCAAATGGCACTGCTGGGACTTTTCGAAACACGAGTTCACACCCCACAAGGATGGCTGCTAAGCTTGTGCTAATTGAGCGAGTGTAACACAGATGCTCTCCTCCGGGTTGGGGGGAGAAGCAGAGTGTGATGACGCAGGCTGTTTCCCACATTCTCTCAAAATAATTTGCACGGGTTTAAAAGAACCTACTCACCCTCTGTCCTCTGACTGTCTGTTTGAAAATAAGAGCAGATGTCACATGAATAAACAGTTTTATTACCGATAAAGTCATCAACTCAGTCAGGGGAGGGGGGGGGGGGGGTTACATTACAGAGCTTACAAATGCAGGACCGAACCTGCAGGTGAGCGCTGGTCCTGGAAAACGTTACATCAACAAACACATTTGAGTGTGTGGCAAAATGAACAGATATGAGATCATAAATACAACAAGGACGATATTGGGGAGGAAAAATACATAATTTCAAAATGTAACACGATTAATCGACCACTTAATCTGCTCCTAAAAATCTTTCTGAATAAACCTTTTATTAAGGCTCAAATTTAAAACAAGTTTGAGGGTAAATAAAAGTCTAAACTCAAAATGAAACTTGTAAATCATAAAATGCATATTATTGTTAAATTTACATGCGTTTACAGTTCCTGACAGCCAATCGGATCATTTCAGACAAAGCAGCTGTGTATATTTCATGACTTTCTACAGTTCAATTATTAAATTTGTCCTGACAGTCTGGCTGCTGTCTTTATGTGACCGGAGAAGAAAAAAATCATAATTTTAGTGTGTCAGAACAGGCCGCCCACACAGCCACCTACACACACACAGACACACATTTATTTATTGGACAGCCACCGTATGTTGGAAGCTGTGTGTGTCAGTGGCCCAGATGTGCCTGACAGGAGGCAAAAACTACAGAGTTCTAATGAAGGTTGTGTGGACTGCATCAAGAAGACACAAGGAATCACAGTTTCTGCAGCCAGTCAAATATTGCTCAATATCTGGGTAGTGTTATTACAGAGATCTCAACCTGTGGCACATTATTACAGCTCCATGCATTCAGTGACTGGATAAGATCAGCTGTTCATCAAGTATACACTCAAAATGTACTGGAACAAAAAACTGATTGTACAACCGAAAGCAAAATTAATAAAAGTTAATAAACAATTCAGATTGAATGTCAATCGTGCATTGATGCTTCAGCTTTATACACTTGACAACTCCAAAGGGATATTTCTGCCATTTCAAATTTGGATTCTGTGGAAAAGATAGAAACAATTAATGTATGTTACATAAATAAAATAAAACCTGTTTGACTGGCTTTATAAGCTAACGGATAGTTCAAAAGCAGCCTAAAGTGGATTGCTGCCATCTTAAAACAACTCAAATCTCAAAAATGTCACAGCGGTCCATGTCATTGCTAAAAGACCTTTAAACCACTATTAATTTCCTATCGTTTGCTTATTTATAAGGAGTTTAGTGATTATTTGCAAGCACAAAGAGCAACAGCAGAAAACTGCAGAACAATCTGCTCTGGGAATGGGTTTGCTCGAACAAATCATTATTAGCTCACGAATACAGTCCAATTTCAAATTTCAAAACAAATCTTTAAATAACTCCAACTTTCACAATTTTATTCCAGCTACCACAAACATAAATATTTAAACGTTTACATTGTCAGTTTCACTTTGCACAACTATTTTAGCTGAAATATGATGAAATCCCTGCCAGGCCGGAGGCTACAGACATGTTGCTCCTCACTGCTGCTGCAAGTTGCACTTGCAATAAGCCATAACATTTGGTTACTATGTAATGTGTGACAGACCTATAAAGTTTTGTGAGATGCTGTTTTCTTGAACCACATTTTTTTATTTGTTGTTTTAAGACAACAAGAATGCATTTAGGTTTTTAGCTGTACTCAGACCAGCTGTTAGCTTATCAGTCTTGTGAAACTACAATTGTTTTATAAAGTGAAAATATTCATAAAGCTACAACAATAAGTTATATTTCCATAACATTTACACAAAACAACTTGTAAATGGCTGGAAAATCCCATTGTTTAAAACCTGTACATAGCACAAAGCTTAAATAATGTTCGTCTTCCCTCAGAGTCTGTATATAGTTGGGAAATGCATGCTTTGTTTTTACATGAGTGGCATCCGAGTACAAACAGGATTAAATCAGAGTAAACACAGCAGACCTATACAGCAGGAAACAAAAATCTGTTGTGAGCTGGATGGAGGTGCTATGGCAACTCATAAAAAAGGCTACAACTAAAACTGGATGCTGTGGAATGAAATCTGTCTTTAGCTTGTCTTACTTATGTTAACGACACAAGCTTTCAAAGAATGGCGTTGCTTTAAGAACATTTGTATCAACAAGGCTTGCACAAGATGTGTGAGCGCTGTGGACGACTACAAGCTAAAGTTGGCAGCGACACATCTTTATCCATTTAGTTTGAGAGTGTCAAATGAACAGCAGAAAGTGAGGATGCATGCTGCTTCAGCTACTTCTACAAACATCTCTATGTACAGAACTGTTGCACTTACAGAAAGCAGATTGTTTCCTGAGCATTCTTAGCAGAGGAGCATCGTGTTTGAGTGTGAAGTTCAAAATACTGAACTGGGCGACAAAAGGAAAAAGAACATCTCAGTCACCAGTCTCGGCATTGTTTAATGCACAGTAAGTGTTGGTAGATAGGAAGCAGTTCTCATGTGAGAGGAATTGTAACCTTTACCTCCGTATGTGTGAGCCAACTAGTCTTTATAACAAGTAACAAAACTTCTCTGACAGTTAAAACTCTCCAAAGCTGTTTCATTCAAATGTAATCAAAAGCCTTTTCAGCACAGTTCTGTCTTTCTTTCTCCTCTTTGCACAAAGTGAGAAGACAGACAGATGACTTCAACTGGGATCCAAAAGTTTGACAGTAAATCTTGTTTTTCCCCTGAAGCTCAGGTTTTTGAAGTGAGACTTGTTTTTTATATATATTTATATATAATTACAGGATTACAGGATCTGTGAAATTATATTCAAAAATAAAGCAAATGCAGTGCAATGCTTCAAACAGGTTGCACCCGGCCTTCATGAGATGATGCTGCAAGTGAGAAAGAAGCAGAGTCAGTGTCACCATGCCAGCAGCTAATGTACAGTGCAGGAGTCGTGGGGACTGCAGAGGCCACACAGGAGCGGTGGAGCTGGGGGGGAGGGGGGGCTTCAACCCTGCTCGTTCATTGCCTCTGCAGCTGCATGAAGTGCAGCAGGAGCTTCACCGTTGCACCGTGATGTGGCCTCAGCTCCCTGCGGATCCGGATTCAGCCGCTGTGGCTCCTCAGCTGAGGGTGGAGCCGGACGACTTGCTTCTCCTCCAGCCAACAGCTCTGTTGCAGCTGCCTGGGTGCCCTCGAGCAGAGCGGCGGATGATGGCACAGTGGAGTCAGTGGCAGCCTGTGGAGCTGCAGGGTCTGCTGGGGAGCCCACTGCAGGGCCAGTGGACCTTGACTCGCTCTGTTCAGGTACCCTTAGTCTCTTCATGATGGTGGTGACTCGCACAGCTTTCTGAGGCAGGACAGCAATAAAAGTGAGGTGAAATATGAATATTTGCATGACGCTATCCATATACTAAATACAGTATGAGAAAGCTACAAAAGCTGTTTGAAGACACCAAAACTTACAGAAAGAGAACAAAGAGTCATACCTTCCATTTAGCCCTAGCAAAGTTCTTCTCTATCTGTGCACATACATGTTCCTTGATGTTCTTATCTGAAGCTGCACCACCGGAGATCCTGTGGTGTAAAGAACAAAGTAGAAAGTACAACTTAAGGGAATATTTTGACCATTTTGGAGCAGTTCTTTGTGTGAAACGTATAAAAAATAACTTGTTGCAGATAGTATTTTGAACAAGATTAGAACACAGAAATAGAGTTTACATTTGAGCTAACGGCTAACCTGGTGCATCTACGACCAAAGTGCCTTGGTGCTAACTTAAAACACCTTCATATGTGATTTTATTCATGTCTATATCAATGTCACTTTCCATTGATTATTTATATGGGGTTCTGCTATTTATTGCAAGTGAAAAAAGCAGCAGCATCTTCAGGAGAGTGGTGTAGTGTTTTCATTTCTATCAGGGGTCATGTGCATCATGTCAGACTTCTGCCAAACAGCACACGGTGGCTTAAGTGTTTTTATACAGTATTTGTCATCTGCATAAACTGCTATAAAATTGTGACGAATGGAGTTGTTTTAAGATGGCTAGACAGTTAACAGCTAATTGAAATGGTTCAAACAATCCACTTTCAAGAGAGATTTTGCACAGCCCCCCCCCCCCCCCCCCCACACCAAAAAAATAAATAAAAAAATTCAAGCTTAAGTTTTTTTTTAAGTGCTTCTAAAAGGTATTCACTCCCTTGGATGTTTTATGCTTTCACTGTTATCATAAATCAGTTATGGTCAATATAAATTCCTTTATTTATTTTTTTTACAAGAGGAAACCCTCTTCATTGTCAAAGTGAAATTGAATTTCTACAAAATGATATTTTAAAACATGTTTTAATGAAAAATACATGAGTGTTTAAATATTCACCCCCTTTAAAGTCATTGTCCTAATTCAACTCAGAGAAATAATTATTGAAAAATACAAAATTCAAGGGATGGATACAAAAGGTCCTACACATCACCAGGAATTCTGTTAAATTCATCATCAAGATATGGAAGGAATAGGAGGATGCCGAAGATGTTTATATATTTGGATTTATGATAGCAGAGTTTCTGCTTTTTGGTATCGGTGGGGCTCAGTTTGATCAACTTTTGAAGAAGACATCAGCAGCAGTTTCGGCCACGACAAAGCTTCTGAGGTTTGATTTGTGCTACGAGTACTCAAAATCAGCTGTTTTACGAGCTCAACTTTAAGATGGAGGCTATTTGTAAGAATTGCAGGCCACCTGCGGCTTCTAAGACTTGCCAGCATGTTGGGATTGACCTTGAGGAGGGCTCATAACACGGAGCAGTGGAGTGGAATACCCATTAATTTGGCCATTTTGGCCCAGGAACGTTCCAGCAGGACTCAAGGCTGACAAGAAAAACAGTCTGCCTGAAGAAAATCAACCATCGTGGCTTATCTGAATCTGACTCCCCCGTTTGGCCTCAGATACAAGCCGAAAAGGCTTTGTCTATTGCACCCCCCCCCCCCCCCCCGCATCCAACCCCCACCTCCCTGAGAACTTCTGTGCAGGCTTATCAGAACTGCCAGCTGAACAACAACAAAACTTTTGCTTTGTAAAATATTTTAAATATTAAATTGTCTGCTCTTCTGATCATGTTAGTGCACTCTGATCACTGGGTTCTAATTTATATAAAGGCTGCACAATAAATCAAAGCTCTGCTCCCTACCATTCATGGTTTATAGCTTCCTGAGCTGTCAGTCTCTGGTCTTGATCCACCTCCATCAAACGAGCTACCAGATTCTTGGCTGTCAGAGAAAAATCAGAGAGGAAACTCAGCAAGAAAGGCTTTACTTCCTTGATGGATGACAACATAAATATGACCGGTTTAAAACGTCAAAGGGAAAAAGAAAAGAAAGTTTTCCCAGATTTGAAATGTTTCCTGTTTCTTTACAGCAACTTTGATGTAAAAGCACCTGAATCAGAGATCTCATCCCAGTACGGTGAGTCAAACTCATAATCGCCTGCGAGAATCTTTCGGAACAGGTTCTTGTCATGGTTTTCATAATCATCATCATCCGTTTCATCATAGAAAGGAGGGTTGCCTGACAGACTGAATAAAAAAAAAAATAAAACAAAAGACATGAACAAATCTAGATTTGAACACATAGTGATGCATAGACATACAATCAGCATGTCCAGAAATGTTTTTACATGCAATGCTTTTGAAATGTCCTCCATCTTATAATATTTTTTTAATTATTTTTTCTGACTTACAGTATGTACATAATGACACCTGTTGCCCAGCAGTCCACTGGTCTGCCATACCGCTGTCTGCCAACCACCTCAGGAGCTACACAAGAAAATAAATAAAACGTTATCAACAGAGTGAAAGATGTTGCCACGTTTCATATTTTTTACTGTTTTATTATTCTCACCCAAGTATTCTGGGGTCCCACAGGGATCTTTGATTAGTCCGTTCTCCAGCTTAGCAAGATGGAAGTCACTGATGACTATTTTGGAGTGCTTTAGGCGGTTGTAGTACACCAAGTTCTCCAACTAGGGAAATGACATTGACACAATGATAACACCACATGTACTGTAACTCAAAATGTCATGGTGTATATCTATTAAGGCTACCCTTTATATCTAAAAAAGTTCAATCTGGTCCTCTGGACATTCTATATATTATACATATAT